CATGCTTTTCAAATGGCTGAAGAAATATGGTTTAAAAGAGGAAAAAAGAATAGAAAAGAAACAGTTGTTCAATAAAGTGTGGTTCTACATCTGAGCAGTTAGATGTCTGGGGAGCCATGCACTTCACAATAAATTAACAAAGTCACTTTATCCTACCTGTGCCCACAAAATATAAAATAATAATCATCAATATGTTATAAAATGGCTCCATGTTTATAGTTTTCCACGCCTGTCTATACTGAAAAAGTTTACCAAAGGCTGCCACTGATTATTTTATTGGTTGGGACTTCTACCCACACTGTAATGAGACGGGAGTTTTGTGGTATGAGACTTACAGAAAGAGAGTCCCTGCTACAAGCAGCTGGCAGGACAGATGAGGGAAACAGAACTGCAATGATGCATCTAAATTCACAGGAGGCAGAAGCAGGCCTAGGGATAGAAGCCAAGGGACAGAAGTCCCAGTGAAGGCCTTCGACCACTAACTACACCACACCACCTGCCTCTGAGCAGGTCTAATCAACTGCATGGGAGAAGTCAGGGTGCCTCCATGCAAGTACAACTAACCTTTGTGGAGTATAGCAAAACTCTTCTCCCATTACCAGGCTTCAGCCTTGTGTTAGTAAGTGTCAAGTCCATTCTTCATAAATGCATCCCTGCAGTTTATTCAGTGACAGTAGTTCAACTTGGACTGGAAACCTTAGCCTTTGACCACTGATATCAGAGATGAGTGCTGCCTCCACTGTTTACTTTTATTTGGGGGAAGAAGAGGAAGGGGGCTTACACTCTCAAATCATAGGAGGTAGGCATCCCTCTATCCATCTAATGAGACAACAAAAACGTGCATCTCGCTGGACATCTAGGAGCGTGGCTGTAGAGCCCCCTCTGAAATCAAAGCTATGAAAATAGCCTATTTCAGCCAGATTGCTTCTCTGAGCCTTTAAAACCTACATCAGTGGTTCCCAATCAGGGTGTCCTGGGGTTTCCCCAAGATCCTTTGAAGGGTGCCATGAGCTGTGAGGAGGTAAGGTAGTGGTGAAGAGATAAGTAGATAAGGGCAGGCTCAAGCTTAACCTGCCTGTTCTCCTACCCCCACTGCCCAGCCCCTCTGCAAGGAGGTAGGCACTGTAATAAATTAGTTTGTTTTTGAAATGAGGTGCTGCTCAATTCACAAGTTATGGAGAGGTGCCTCAAGTCTAAAAAGACTGAAAACTACTTGGTCTATATAATAAAACCATATATAGCAACATGAACTAATTTTGCTGCTGTGCACTGAAAAACCAAATGAAATAAATATGAAGTGATCATGAGAAATACCCCAGGATCAAATCACACTTCAAGTTGGTTTGAGCCCTCCTGGGACTGACTGAGACAGCAACTTAACACCCCTTGCTGGAATCCAGGATGGCCTTGCTCTAAGTACAATCTTGATGTAGTTTCTCAAAGCAGCAGCACCATTTATCCCATGGATATCAATGCAGACAGATAGGCCCCATCTGATCCTGCAGAATCACTGAAGGTCAAGTTCTTTGGAGGTCAAGTCATGAGCTCACCCAACTACTTAAGAGATAAGTAGTTGGAGAAAGGAAAGGAAGGGGGTTTAAACTCGTCAATCATAACAGAATCAGGAGCTTGATATGGTACAGTAACAGAGAGCATTACATATGGCTTACAAGTACCTCCTTGCTTGTTGCAAGTGGAAAACTTTGCAAGTAGAATGGTTCCTAGGAAAAGTTTTGTTAGATCTACAGAAAACAAGGACTCTTCAATTGCCTCCCTTTTCTCTTTAAGAAAAATGAATTGCCTAAAAGCTTAATTTTAAATTTCTTTAGAAAAACCAAGTTTAAACTTTGTGTTTATAAGATTATTTTCAACGCTGAGATTGAGTGTAGTATTTAAGTTTGTGTCCATGCTGAGATTTATTGCAGCAACTTAAATCCTGACATGTTTATGCTGGTGTAGCACCATCAGATCTTGTACCTTGCACCCTGGTTTTTATAAGTTACAGATCAGCTTTGCAAGAGGCTAAAAAGCCCTGGTAAACACCACTTTAATCTGCATAGGGACACCCCAGTTGAGTTTGTTGCTGCTCAGCTGCAGGGAATTGAAGCACAGTGAAAACCAGTCGTGTCCATCCATTAATGTCCACAAAGTTCAGAGGAATGAAAAATAAATAAATAGACAAAAATCAAATCAAGCTTCCCCCCCCGCTTCCTGAAATTAAACACTTGAGTTAAACCCAAGCATGAAGCTGCTCTGTCCCTGTCCAGCTAAGACATCCCCTTTGCAGCAACTGAAGCTGAGGATCTGTGCACTGCCTCTACGACAGCCAGGAAGCTGGCAAACAGAGTGAAGGGGAAACGCTTAACCCTTCTCCCCCTATATTCACTTGAAATAACCAGGAGGCTTGGGCCTGTCAGTGGATGGATGTGGGTGAAAAAGGAGGAAACAACCACTAAAAAGCAATTTCAATTAAATAGTAAGTTGTCAGGCTTTTGTGCGACTGCTTAAAATAGCTTTTTTCCTATAGCATTAGATGTACCTAAGAACATCAATGGCTGCCATTTACTGAATCACGCTATAGGTTGATCGCCCCCAGTATCCTGCATCACACACAACCTCCTGCTAAAGTCCTGGCTATGCTTCTACCTGCACCTTTTCTTGTATGCACTTCCCATCCACGGCCCCACCAAGCTCCGGGACCTCCTGGTCAATCTCTTCCTGGCTCTGCCCACACTGGCCATCTACCAGGCCGGGAGGGAGCCTGGGCAAGCACAGGGCTGTTTTCCTCTTACTCCTGCTCATCTCCAGGCAGAGATTCACTGGTCAGCATCCACAGGGTCCTCTGCCTGGTTCAGGGGGTCACTGGTCTCTGGCCAGCATGCTCTGCTCGGTGTCCTCTTTTGACTCCCATATTGTTAACCTACGATCATCACGATCATGCTTGTTTTTTTTCTTTCTTTTGACCCCCATAATTAGCTGTTGTGCTCTCACTGGCATCCCCAATTGAAGTAGTCTTCTAGTGTTCTTGGTGGGCCTAGGCCCACCATCCCTAGGTGCAACACAAGCCTGTATCACATAGTGGGAAAAAGCAGATGCTGAAAGAGAGAGTGAACAAAGGTATGACCAGGTCCCACCCACCCCATTCCCCTTCCACTTGCAGCCTCCAGAATTCAAGTAATGTTTAGGTACTTTTTTAGTACCTATGTTTTCCCCTCCTACTGCCTAGAATAACACTCTTGAGTTAAATTTTAGGACCGTTTAAGAACATGTAGAGATACTGAAGGAAGAATCTTTGTTCAACCATGGATATCATTCTCTCTGTAGGGAAGCCCCAGACTACAAATGGAAGAGTTCAAGCATAGCAGCAAGCAAGCGGGTCTGAAAGGCAGCCCAAATACTAAGTAGAAGACACTTACAACAAACATGAGGAGACCTAGTGTGAATGGCCACCTGGGCTAGTAACTCCTAGTCCCTACCAAATTCCCTCCCTCTCCTGAGTCAAAAAGCTTAGTGGGAGCACAGCAATGCATGTTTCTGTCTGGGTACCAAGTGCAGATTCAGCTGCCTTGAAGTCAACCAGCCAGGGAAGCCGAAAGGGACGTTGCTTCAGCCAAATTAAGACAAAAACCAGAGACAGCCATAATCAAGCTTCTCAATAAGTAGCTGCTTTTGTTACAAGCTGCTGAACTCGCCGGCCCTATCCCAGACTGTCTCCCACCCTCACCCCGAGAAAGGTGCCCCAATGATGGCCAGTGACACACAGGCCTCCACATAAGAAACCCTGGACCCTTCTACAGGGTGTTAAAAAATGAAACCAACTTGCAAGAGAGCACTTGGGGGAAACTTGCAGAGATTTACCTATTTTATCTTAAGCTCCCTCTTCCTAGCCTGCCCCCAAACTAACCTAGTAACAGAGAAGATTTCATTTAAGACTTCCTTTTTTTTTTTTTTTTTTTTTTTGCATGGAAACAGGGACTTCCATCGCCAGGCCCATGACACCCCTCGCACACATCACAAAGCCAGTGTAAGGGTCTAAAGGTACCGCATGTTTAAGCAGAGTATGCACTTGCTGGACAAGCGGTTAACTGGTGTTAGGCAACAGGCAAAACCCAGCCGGCCCTTGCGGTCTGCAATTAAGCACATTAAGCCCTGATCCAAACTGCATCGCAGTGCAGCCCCCCAGCCCCACAGTCCTGCACAGCCACCGCGTCGCACTGGATGGGCCTGACCCGAGTGCAGGGACTCTCAGCTCAGGGCACCTCAGGAAGGGCCAGCTCGCAGCTTGCACTTGTTTTTGCCTACAGGAAACAGAAGGCAGGGCAGATTTGCACCTTGCAGGCTGCCAAGAGTGCGTGTGCCTATATGCACACACTTGTGTGAGCATGTGGGTGTGCCTCAATGCATGTGTGTGCATGTGCAGGTGTGTGCACATATGCATGTACATGTGAGCATGTGTGCGCCGGTGCACATTCATGTGTGTGCATAGAGATGTGTATGTGTGCATGTGGACATATGCATGTGCACAGGCACAGGTGTGTGCACATGCATCAGCATGTGTAGAGGTGTGCACATGTACACACATACATTCACGTACATAGAGGTGTGTTGTATATACATGCATATGGACATATAAGCGTGCACACACATATGTGCATAGAGGCACGTGGATGTATATGTACAGGGGGTGAGTGTGTGCGTGCACACGCATATAGACATGAATGTATGTGCACATATGCACGTGTGCACGGCTACACACCTGCAGAGGTGCATGTACATTTATGCATAAAGAGATGTGTGCAGACGTGTGTGTGCGTCTGCATACAGAGGTATACGTGGCGCACTTCTGCATGTGTGCGTGCCTCGCCGGGTCCGTGCCAGGCCGCGAGGCGCCGGGGCGAGGGCGAGGACCAGGCCCGGGAACCCCACCAGCCCCAAGCCATGGCCCCGCGGGCCCCGCTCCTCGCCCGAGGGGAGGGGAGGGGAGGCGCGGGTGGACTCACGGCGGAGGAGGCGGCCAAGGCCGCGCGCGGCGCCGCTGAGGTGGGACATCGTCTCCTTCCCCGCTGACCCCGCGGCTCGGGCAGGCCGGCGTTGCAGAACGCCCGCGCGGAAACCGCCCTCCGCACCGGCAACGCGATGGGCAGCCGCGCCCCCTCCCGGCTTTAGGACCCCGCGCAGCTGCCGCCGCCAATCGGCGCCGCGCGGGAGGACGCCGAGGCCGCGCGGCATTGTGGGGGGTGTAGTTCGGGAAGGTGTGGGGGGCAGGAGCTCTGTACCGCAGGGGTGGCTGTAAGGGTGCACGCTGCTGGCACTGGGTATCCACAAAATAACCCTAGAGATTCACAGAAGTGTAGGTGTCAAATAGGGGCCAGGCAATAAGGGTGGCAGGAGGTTGTGTCCAGTCCAGCCCCTGCACAGAGCAGGACCAGTCCCAGTTGCATCCTTCCAGACCAGGGTTTGTCCACCTGGGTTTCAGCACCTCCCAGGATGAAGATTGCACCAACTCTGCACTGGGCGACCTGTTCAGTGCTTCACCCCCATCCCAGGGAGGATGTTTTTCCCTAATATCCAACCTAAACTTATTGCCACTGACACCCATTGCTCCTCGGCCCATCACCCGCCACCTCTGAGAACATCCCAGCTCCGTGAGTTCGGTAATACAGGCAATCCTTGGACTTACCACGCAATTGGTTCCTGAAAACTGCATCTTAAGTTGAAACATTGTAACCCATTGTTTCCCATAGGAAACAGTGTTATAAATGGGGGATCGCTTCCTGTACCAGAGCCCGATACCCTATTTTCACCAAAAATAACCCAGAATTTTGTACTTGATCAATTATAGATGAGTAATATAGCTACATTAATGTATTTATATTGTAAATAGCAATCATATTGATTTGAAAGGACTTCTCTGAGTTGACTTTGCTGGACGTTTTGAAGGGCTCTAGGTGGGACATTTTGAAGGGTTCTTGGCTGGAGTCGTCTCAGGAGTCTCGGCTGCAAGTTTTTCTGGATCCTTGTCTGCTTTCTGAAAGAAAGTGTCCAAGCAATTTTGGACAGATGCTCTCCAGGGAGATGAGCGATGCAGTGAACTTGTTCGCTGATGTGGCGCCGCGTCAGATCAAGCGTTGTAAACTCAAAACTGACATCAGAAAGTTGAAACAGGGTGTCAATTTATAAACATTGTAAGTGCAAAATGTTGTAGCTTGAAACATTGTAAGTCAAGGACTGCCTGTAATCAGGCATGTTACATTCGTGGATGCAGCAGGGACAAGTCCCGGCCTATAGAAGTGCATGGGGAACCGCCTGTCAGAGAGCTGAAGGCTGCTACAAATTCCCCCTAAGTCTCCTCTTCTCCAAACTACGCAAGTTTAGTTCCCTCGGCCTCTCCTCATAAGTGATGTGCCCCTGCCCTGTCTGCCCTGCTGTGGGTTTCGAGCTCTTGGCCGCAGAAAAGTGCTTCCATTGAGAGACACAGGTGGCCAGGTTAGTCTGAAGTCAAGTAGGCAGGGCAGATTCATGCTTTAAGACTAACTGGAGCAGATATGTGCATAGAGAGCCCAAGCTTTCATGGGCTGAAGCTCACATCATCAGATGCTGTGAATCATCTCACGAGTAATCCCTCCATTCAAGGATGGTTTCTATCACAGCTTGGTGTATGAGTTTAGAGATGGCTTCAGGGGTTGTTTCCTGTGGTGCAAACCCCTGCATAACTTCATTTAACATGAGGAAGCACAGCAACAGCAACCACATGGTCTTGACAAGGTGTCAATTTGGGCCCCAGGGCAAAAGAAAACCCTAGACCAGCTCACAACCCAAAAGTGGGTTGTGAAGGATATCTGAAAGGGTCATGAGGCATTATGGAAAAAATATGGAAAAATGTGGATGTCACTTGGGAGTAATGTAGGGCCTCACGTTGATATTGCTGTTAATGTTTCCCTGATGATATGCATGTCTATCTTTCAAATGAAGACTGCTGAGTGGCTTTAACTTGTAGCATGCAATAATATTTTGGGAGCAAAATACTTGTGTGTTTTCTACTTAAACTATTTACTGGGTCGAGGTTTACAAATGGGTCCTGGGACAAAAAAGGTTGAGAACCACCACCCTAGATGACAGGAGACCTCTGTCTAGCTGCAATCTTCTTTCATCATTGCCACTATTAAGATCCTGACATCTTCCTCTGCTTCAGCTTCTATTGAGGACTTGGGGTTGGACCGTGGTCTGTCGCCAGCTCCCCACAGACTTGTTCACCCCCACACCATGGCTGCTGGTGAGCCCGGATCTGTGCTGTGAGGGTCCTCACAGTCTGGATCCAGCCTGGGTCCTGGGATAATTTGATACCCCTGGGTTGCATGAAATTTGGGTAAATGATGATACTTTTTTGGTCCCCAGGTGATATGGTTACATGGAGTGTACTCCATAATTATTCTGAACCTTCCTTCCCACCCGAATCCCCACCTGTTCAGCTGAACTTGGTCAGAGTGATGGTGTAATCAAGATTACAGAGGCCTTTGAGACTTGTTACTGCTGCATCCACATGGCATCATGAATGAAATGTACCTGATTACTGAAATCTTAAAGCCTTGATTTAGGGCATGCTCCTACCATGTGCTGAGCAATTAGGTCTTGAGCCAACAGTGCTCTTAATCACCTGACATTAAGCGTCTGAACCGGCCCATTCAAGTTAAGGCAAAGTAGTTTTCTGGATTGAATTGGGTCTCCAGAGTGCTCTGCTCTAGTTAGCTTCTTCCCCGTGCTGCTCCATGTTCTGCAATTCACCATTTTAAAATAATAGTCCCCCTAAGCAGAGGAAGGATGGTGAAAATGGATCCTCATGTCTCCCAATTCCACTGCTAAACTAAAATACTTTGGAAGATACTAGTCAACTAATAGAATCCATTGTCCTTCTTTAAAAGTCAGTGCCAACTTACAGTATGAGCCCACAGGGCCCAGCTCCCTGTCCCCAGCTAGAAAGGGCCTTAAGATTCATCAGACAGTGCCAAACGCAGACGTGTGACATGTGCCCCTACAAGAGGTGCAGACATCTCACAAGTACACAAATGCACCTTCAAATACATGATTATGTAAAATGCAGAAGACTCCTGCATGCACACTGAGGTACAAATGCTTCCATAACCGTTGGGTGCTCGAATATGTAGAACCCTCCAATCTCTCTGTGCAGGACCTCCAAAATCTTTCAGTCAGGCCTGTTAAAAGCCATGCCAATCATTTACAATAGATTACCAGGAAGCAACATTTTAAAAAGTTCTTAACATCAAACATTCAATCTGACAGAGATCATTTTAAAGTGTCATTAATTATTTGCTTTGTAGCAATGGCTAATGGCTGAGCTAAAAGGCAAGGCATTGTGCTAGGCACTGTATATTTTCTGCAGCCAATAGTACCAAGCAGGGCCAGACACAGGCATGGGCAAACTGGGTGGTTGCCCAGGTCCTGGACATAAAGGGGGCCTGGAAATAGTAATTTAAAAATTATTATTATCATTATCTCTGGTAAGGGAGTCCCGTTACTAAAAGTTTTCCCAGGGCTGCCAGCGGTGTAGGTATGGTGCTGGTACCAAAGAAAGTGATGTGATGAGCATCGTATCCTGTGCCTTGAACTGTCCAGCCTATTTAGTGTGGAAATGAATACCAGTAGCTTTCTGCCTGAGTCCAAACCAAGCTTCCACCCCATGCTTCTAGATCCGCAGGTTGCTGTAACTGCTCTGCCAGTGCGTCCATCAGGGAAACCAAATGGTACAGCAAAAATAAGGACTGTTGCACTACTGAAGGGTGGCAAGGTAAAGGTTTGGTTTTCCCTTCAAAACCTCAGAAGTAGAAATTGGCCTTTGTGCATTTGCATCCAAAACCCCATGGGTGGATGCAGTCTTCAAACATACTTTGGAACATACATTTCAACCTTTGAACATACGTGGAGGTTGTCATCATCATTACATTGAGAAATCTTGAGCTAGAGACCAGCACCAGCTAAGAAGCATATACTTGAGTAGATAGGTGTGGAAATGGAAAAAAAAAAAAATCCTTTATAACACAATAGACTGGCTCACATCAGAGCACACTCTGATCCATTCCATTTAAATTAACTGACTTGGTATGCTGCCAGCTCAGAAATTGTTCTGGCTAGGTAAGAGCAATAAAACAATGACCAATACCCTAGTACAATGGTATGAGATTAGGACATCCCTAGGTATACAGCACATCCAATGTACTCTCACAAAATGTAGCAAGAGGTCAGTTCAGCCTAGGAAAACAAAGGGTATTTATAGAATGATTAACCAAAGGGCTAAGAAAGAAACCTTGTAGATACATCTCTGAGAACAATATATTTCAACCGCTACAAGAAATACAAATGCCAGATAAAGGGCAGGCTTCCTTCCCTCTCCCTGCTTTCCCTTTTTCTTTAAAATGTCATTTTAAAGCTAGTATTAAGCCTGGAACCAGAGCTTGATAAAAAACCCCATCTGGAGACCCAGCTGGATTTCATGAGAAGCCCAAACAATTTATCTCTCTTTCCCTATGGCTTGCTTCTAACCTCATTCAAAAGCAGGTCTTCATGATATTAAGCACAGGATGGAGCAGGGCATTTGTCTTTCAGATAGTGGAAGGCAAATGGGAAAAAAAATCTCCTGAACTTTTCCTATGTGAACGCTCCTTTGATACTAGGTCAGGGCAAATGCAGCATTTCATTCTATGTATCTTCACATCTCCCCAGGAATAGCTAATTATGTGAAAAGGAGATGAGGCCAGTCCTTAAATATTGTTTGCTTGGTCCTTCCTTGCATTCATAATTGCTAAGCATTTAAGGGCTTTATCCAAATACCACTGCAGTTAATAGCAATCTTTTCCATTCCACTTTTCCAAGCCACTGAATTGACATTTGAGAAGAAAACACTACAAGTATAAATTTGGCAGGAAGTTGTATTGCAGAGGTTCCTACAGTGTGTGCTCTGGGAAAGGAGATGTAGAGCTAGGTCCTGTTACTCAATGACACTTACCCAGTCAAATGGCATTCGGGGCACTTGCACAGCATTTTGGATTCTAGTTTGCCCTCTGGTACAAGGGAAATACCCTGCACACATGCACAT